TCATGACCTGAGCTGAAGGCAGATGCTTAACAACTGAGCCACCCAGGCGCCCCAGGTCTACTTAACTTTAATATAATTGTTGATATAATTAATTTTAAATTTACTATCTGTATTTTTTTCTATTTGTCCTCCTTGATCTGTGTTTTTACTTCTTTCTCTTTTCGGATTAGTTATCTTTTAAACTATTATAACTTTTTTTTATTGCTTTATGTACTTTACTTCCATTTTTCCTTCTATGTTTTTCATTGTATTTCACTTTGCTTCTATTCTTTCAGTGATTAATTAAAAATTAGTCTTAATCTTTAATTATTTTTCTTTTTCAGTTAATTTTAACCCTTGATTTATCTAGCATAGTAATACTTATTACATTTACCCTCATCCTGGACACTATAGAGACCTTGGAATACTTTTATTCCATTTTGTGTCATCTACATATATGCAGTTATTATTTGTTATAGTTCTGAGTATTAAGCCCCAGAAGATAATTTATACATTTTTATATGATCAATGTTAGATTTATCCATGTATTTATGGCTACCTTTCTCTTTATATCTTTCCGTGACCGTCTTTCCATATGGAATCATTTTTCTTCTGCCTGAGAAACATCATTTAGAAATTTCTTTTGTGTTAGTCTGCTTGGGAAGAACTGTTTCAGCTTATTTTCCTCTGAAAGTGCCTTTATTTTACTTTAATTATTGAAGACTTTTTATTAAGTATGTAAGTCTAGGAGGCAGTTACTTTCAGAACATTGAAAATATTTGCATTTGATTTTTGTTTTTCAGAAGTTAGTCAGTGGTCTGACTGCTGCTGATTGGAATGTAATCTCTCTTTTTTCTCTGGGTATTTTTTTATTTATATTTTTTTCTTTTTACAATTTTTGTCTTTGTTTTTTATTTTCTGCAGTTTTACTGTTTTCTCTAGCAATGATGTTCCTTTATTTACCTTGTATGGGATTGGTTGGCCTTCTGGAATCTGTTGATTTGTATCTTTCATATTGCCTGAAAAACTCTCAAATATTACTTCTCCAAATATTGCCTTTGCCTTGTTTTCTCTCTCTCTTCTACTTCCAAGACTCTAACCAAAATATAAGATACACCTTCTGATCCCATTTGCTATTTTTCTGTGTGTTTAATATTACATTTTTTCTCCTTGTCCTACATTTTGAATTTTTTTCTTCTTCCCCATATTCTGCTTTACTGTTTTCTTTTCAGCTGTGACTTCTCTCCTGTTAAACTCTTTCATTGAGTTCTTAATTTTAGCTATTTTTATTTCATTTCAAAATTTATTTTTTCCCCCACCAAGGGAAGAAAATGTTTCCAGGAAGAGGAAAGGATTAACTGTAAAATGTTGCCAGATTAGACTAAACGAGGGTTAAGAACTGACCATTGGGTTTAGCAAAAAGATTTTGGCAGCCTTGACAAGAGCAGTTTCAGGAGGTTGATGAGAATAAAGGTGTGATTGTAGTGGATTCTAGATGAGGGATTGAATATGCAAATGGAACAATGGCCAGACCATATATAAAAATAGAATTCTGAGCCACAATCTGCAGCAACCAATGCTGGAGACCAATCCATTATTTACACTAACCAGCCCAGATTATAATTGTAAAAAGAAATGTCTCCTTTTGTCCCTTTCAACTACAAGACGCCTATGCTTACCCTTTGAAAAGTTGGAAAGATTTTGAAAAGATTGTGATCAAGGTGTGAAAAGATTATACATTTACTCCCCCTACCGAATGCTAAGCTGCTAGGAAATGTAAATGCCTTATCTTTAGACTCTCAGCACACTTCTACTGCAAAGAATTAATTTTCCCCAGAGGGCATCTGGCTTTGACTTCCTTTCCACATGATAAAGCTGCTAATTGCCTCAGAAAAGATTTCTGAGTTACAGTACAAAGGTAAGCATACTTGGGGTCAATTAATAATTCTGTTTCGGCTAAATCTTATCATTATTATATCACTGCTACACGAGACTTGGAGCTAGTTTGTGTCTCAGTGCACCATTTATTACCTTTTGACCATGAGCAAGCTGCTTGACCTCTTTTAGCTTTATTTCTCATGCCCAAGATTGAGATAGATAATAGTGAGATATTCTCACCCAAGTAAAATGTTGGAGTGTTCCAGCCTTGTTTAGATGGATGTCTACTTTGTTACCCTGCCTTTCCAGTAAGTTTTGTTTTTACTTTTTGCTGAGAATCAGCCTAGAAGCTATTGGAGGAAGAGAAACTAAATTGTGGTGGCAAAAAACAAGTTAGACTGTGATAAGGGTCAACCTCACTTATATAGGATAAAACCCTAAGAAACAAAGTTATTATATGGAAATTTTCAAGGATTAAGACCACTGTATGTGCTGCTTCTGATTTCTAAAAGTACAAGATTTTCATTCAAATAACTCTCCTATCTTAAACTCTTACAAGAGTCCATCAATTCACACCTACCCACCCCTAGTAGTTCTGTGAGCTGAGAGCTTTTCAGAGTTCAAAAATACTGGTCTGACTCCCACAGACTTTGATCACAAAGTGAAGTTTACTTATTATCTGGACTCTGCTGGAGGAACTATAGGCAGGAGCATTAGCTGAATCATTAGAGTAGAAGCTTCTAGCTGAAGTAGTATTGCATTATAAAATGCTCTTCAAACTGCCAATTTCACCTGTAGTGAAGTTCCTTACCACTACTCTAGTCTGCCTCCCTCATAGGTTACTACAAAGACAATATCACCATTATTTTCATCAGAATATTGATGGTCAGAATTGTGTCACCAATAGTAAGGTTCTTAGAAATTCTGGATTATGTTGTCATAAAGGGGGGTCATTTCTTTTGCATGGAATGTTGAAAGGATTGATAGTATGCAGATAGCATCTTAGATTTGCTGTAAGTTGAAATAGCTTTAAGGAAAAAGTGATAAAATAGAGCTTCTATAGAAAACATTCTATATATTAGAATTCCATGACAATGAGCTTTTGGTAGAGCCACTGATTTGGTCACTGAAAATCTTAGGAAAGAATCTCAAGGGCGCACAGGAAAATTAGACAAAGGGCTTCATGAATATATTCATAATGACCAAAAAAAAGTGGGTTTAGAGAAAGAGGAAATGGACATGGTCATCCCAGACTAAGACAACCTATAAAAGACAAATTATAATACCAACCAGAAATTAACCATAAAGACTAGATGATATAAAAAGTCATAGATGCAAATTAATTTTTTTTTAAAGATTTTATTTATTTGACAGAGACAGTGAGAGCAGGAACACAAGCAGGGGGAGTGGGAGAGGGAGAAGCAGGCCCCCCGCGGAGCAGGGAGCCCCATGCAGGGCTCCATCCCAGCACCCCGGGATCATGACCCGAGCCGAAGGCAGACGCCTAATGACTGAGCCACCCAGGCGCCCCGAAAATTAATTTTTTAAGTTGATGAAATCACTTCGAGGATACATGAAGCAGAGAAAGATTTGATAGATCAAGTAGTAAGAATAACTAAGAATAAAAAACTCATTGAATTTCTAATGGAAACTTGAAATTGAACCAATGAGGAACTTTTTATAATGAATGGCTGTTGAAGAAAAACATCAGGTAAAGTATCAAATCTCTTGAAAAACACTTTCAGCATTAGCAAATCTATAAAGGTAGTATATTACAGCAATTCAAGAGATACACAACAGCATATAAAACGTATTAAGCAAAATTGTGCTGTAGACAAGTATATGCAATTACTTAAAACTTTGTTGCTAGGTTTCAATAGTTCCTAAAATATATGGTTGTTAAAGAAGGAATTGAGTAGAGAATAAAGTATTACTGACTGCTTTTTACTTGTAAAGAATGTAAAAATAAAATAAATTTTTGTGGATGCCTGGGTGGTTCAGTTGGTTAAGCATCTGCCTTCGGCTCAGGTCATGATCCTGGAGTCCCAGGATTGAGTCCTGCATTGGGCTCCCTGCTCAGCAGGGAGTCTGCTTCTCCCTCTGACCCTCCCCCCTCTCATGTGCTCTCTCTCAAATAAATAAATAAAATCTTTAGAAAAAAATAAAATAAATTTTTGGTCAATTCTGTATGAGATTTAAATGATCTTACCCTAAAAAATATATCAAATAATTGTTCACAAATTATTTTCTGTAGTAAAGAAGAGAAAAATTTTAGTTAAAATAGGCAAATAAGACTTTGCGTCTCCCTTTGAGAAAAGCGTATTTGTGATTTTTAAAGTATGAAGCCTATGAATATGATGTTCTTATAAAATATCATCAGTATATGGAAATATAAATGTCATATATAGATGTAAATTCTCCTGTGGTTCTTCTGAGCATCATGATTTTCATTGATCATTAAATACTGGAAATTAGTCTATCTGCCTTAGTTACAGTGTTTGCTCCATTATCCTAGTTGTTTTTACATTTGGAAAGTACAGTTGCTTATTAGAAAAAAAGTATTTCATCCTTCCAGATCATGGATCTCTTTCACTCCTCTTCCACAACAATACTCATTTCCTCACGTTTTCCTGAGCATTCTCTCATTTTTCAAAGAAGCAGCTATTTTACTACAAAGGAATTGTGAAGGATGGGGTGGGTACTGTTATACTCTCTTGGTGAGAATGTGAAGGAAATCAAACTGCCTGTTTTAAATCTGGCTTCTACTTCTTATAACCTTGGGCAAGTTACTAAATTCCTCTTTGTCTAGTTTCCTCATTTACAAAACAGAGACAACAAGAGTGTCTAGTCATAGTTTATTATGAGGGTTAAATGAAAAAAGACATATCAAGCATGTTTGCCTGGCATATAGTAAGCACCCTACAAATATATGTGATGATGATGATGATAACAGACAATCTGACAACATTTATCTAAAGAAAAAAAATGTACATTTCCTTGGACTGAGTGATGTTGGTTCTAGGAATGTATCCTAGGGAGATAGTAAGTTGAGTGCTTAAAGATAGGTACAAGACTATTCATTGCAGTGCTGGTTGTAACAATAAAACATTAGAAGTATCCTGCATGTCCACGAAGAGACATCTCTTCTTAGGGATATTTCCACTCATATATATGTCATTTTTCTTCTCTACAACATTTACATTAAACAGTTAATTTCCTTAGATATAGCCAAGATAAACACTCCAAATTCTTGATGTCTTTCAGGGAGGTGAGTTTAAAAACAAACAAACAAACCAAAATGGGACATCGATCCTGTATGCATTCCCAGAGGAATAGAGACCTCATTGTAGTAGGGGAACTCTTATAAATGAGCTATTCCTCACATGTCATGTAGAGGTTGATATAGAATAATCTGGATTCAAATGATAAAATTTTAGAGGCATTGGCCAAGCTTTGAACCAATTTTAGAAATGAGGATTTGCCATATTTTAGCCCCAAGAAACAGAATTAGTAAAGGGAGAATACAGTTAGAGTAGAATATCAATAAAAACTTTAGTCTTTCCCTTGAATTCTGAGAGTTTCATAAGCCCCAAACCCAGAGTTTCAAACTAGGGAAGACATGCTAAGTAGTTTGAGAATGGGGAGAATGCTGTAAAAATTAAGGATGTATTTCTCAAAAAAGGAGAATGATGGTAGTGGTTAGAAGAGGCAATTTCCTTCCTCTTATCTAATTTCGGCTCCAGAGCCTCCAGCAGAAACTCTTCAAAATCTTGCATGTTACAGACTTCACTACTCCCATCGGATTGGAGATAACATGTGGCTCGTGACAGCTCTGCTCCTTTGGGGTAAGTTGGGCTTAGTGGGGATAGCTAGAAGGGTACTGCCTCTGGCTATGGGGACTCAAGACTTTTTTTTTTTTTAAGATTTTATTTATTTATTTGACAGAGAGAGACATAGCGAGAGAAGGAACACAAGCAGGGGGAGAAGGAGGGGAGAAGCAGCTTCCCGCCGAGCAGAGAGCCCGATGCGGGGCTCGATCCCAGGACCCTGGGATCACGACCTGAGCCGAAGGCAGACGCTCAACGACTGAGCCACCCAGGCGCCCCAAGACTTTTTGTCTTCCTTTGGTATCCTAGGCTAGAACTCATGAATATGGGGACAACTGTATCTGTGCTTCTGTGGTTTATTCATGCTCATTATATCAAAAGCATAGGAAGAGAGACTTAGTGGTTAATATTTAGCCTGGAAGCATCATATCAAAATAAATAACCATCTATAGGCTGTTCGTACCACTAGTGCCTGATTTGGAAAGGGGGTAGAGAGAGACTCAAGAGACTAAGCTGGCCCCTCAGAGTCTATATTAGTTTTAACTCCTTGATTCCCTTCCTTGTCATCTCCCACTGACCAACTTATGCCTCTATTCTTTGGTCTCTTACAGTTCCAGCTGGTGCGCAAACGGGTGAGTAATCTTTAACTCAGTTTCTCTTCCTCTGCCACATTCCTTCTTCTAATGGGTGAGTTTTGTTATCCTGAAGAAGAGAGTATAGGGAGAGGATAGAAACAAGAAAGATTTACAAATTATGTAAAGTCCCCTATATTCAGAGTATGATTTTGATAAAATCCTGGTTTTTAAGGATTCTCTCTAAGGTTTCCTGAAAAAGCCCTGACCTCAGGACTAAATGCCTACGTGTATATAATAGCAGGAAAAGGCCAGAATTGCAAAACCATAGACGTAGCTCTGCTGGGTTTTCTAACATTTCTTGAAACAGTCCCCTTTAGAAGAAAGCCGAGTACTTTTTTTCTCCTCAGGGAGAACCAAGCAAGAGAACCAAGAAGGTTTCAAAGTGAGGAGTTTGAGTCTTGGTTTCCAATGCAGATGCTAATTAAGGCCTGAGTTTAACCCTCAACGACAGTATTGCACAGGGGGTAAGAGAACCAGCTCCAATCAACTTGCCTTGGTTTAAAACCCTGCTTCTTTGTTTACCAACAGTGAAAACTAAATTAGTCATTTGTTTCTTAGGAGCCCCAAAGCTCCAAAATCCAGATGTAGATTTAATAACATGAACAGAGCTCTCTGCATGGGATCTGGATACTCTCAGTAGCTAGTTTTTATAGGTTCCCACTTGCTTATTTTTCATTCTCATTTAATATGTATTTTTACCTTGTGCTATCCACAAAACCTTACCAATTGCTCAGACCTTCCTTTTATTCCACTTTTTTTTTTTAAATCCCCAAAACAGACCCCGCAAAGGCAGTGATCACCTTGCAGCCTCCTTGGGTCAGTGTATTCCAAGAGGAAAATGTAACCTTATGGTGTGAGGGACCCCATTTACCTGGGGACACCTCTACACAGTGGTTTCTCAATGGCACAGCCATTCAGACCTTGACCCCCAGACACAGAATTGCTGCTGCCAGTGTCAGTGACAATGGTGAATACAGATGCCAGACAGGTCTCTCAGTGCCAAGTGACCCAGTGCAGCTGGAAGTCCACAGAGGTAAGTATGGCATGGAGCAGGAGGGTTGGAAATCACAAGGTCTTCCTTTGTGTTTTCTCCTTTCTGCATGCCAGATACGTGTGTTTTCGTTTACTGGAGTATGAGTCTCAGCTCTATGTGCCTACTAGGTGAAATTAAGTCAAGATACTCAGAATATCACATTAGGGTCCTTAAACTGTGCCCCAACAGCACCCCAACTGGGACAGCTGTGAGCAGGGTATCTAGTGTAAAACTCAGACCCTAAGATTTTATTACTTAAAATGATCTAATCTGGGGGCACCTGGATGGCTCAGTTGGTTAAGTGCCTGCCTTCGGCTCAGGTCATGATCTCAGGGTCCTGGAATTGAGCCCCGCATCGGGCTCCCTGCTCAGTGGGGAGCCTGCTTCTCCCTCTGCCTCTCACTCTGCCTGCTCATGCTCTCTCTCACTCACCCTCTCTCAAATAAATGAATAAAATCTTTTAAAAAAACAAAAACGATCTAATTTTGTTGAAAAAAGTTATGCCTGCACATAGTAAATAAGAATTCAGAGAAATGTACAATGATGAACAATGAAGTCTCTCTTCCACCCCAAACCCCTAGTCCCATGGTCACCTCTGTAGAAATAAAGCTGTTAATATATATATGAACTTTAAAAAAAAAAGGTGGTTGGTAGAATACTCTATATACTGTTCTACACCTTGCTTTTATCACTGAAAATACCTTGGAGGTCTGTTTAAATCAATAGACATCTACCATGAACTTTCAAATGTCTGCCATATGGCTGTGCTGTAACTGATTTAATCATTCTCCCTATTAGTAAACTTGTAGTGTATTTCCAGTTGTTTTTTTTTAAAGATTTTTTATTTTTTATTAGAGAGAGAGAGTACAAGCAGGGGGAGCAGCAGGCAGAGGGAGAAGTAGGCTCCCCGCTGAGCAGGGAGCCCGATACGGGACTCGATCCCAGGACCCCGGGATCATGACCTGAGCTGAAGGCAGCCGCTAAACGGTCTGAGCCACCCAGGGACCCCAGTTTTTTTTGTTTTTACAAGCAATGCTACAATAGACATCTCTATATGTATAGCCTGGGGCACATTTCATAATATATCTGTAAGATAATATTCTGGACATGAGATTACTGTGAGACTAAGCATTTTAAACTGATGAATAGAAGGGAGAAAAACCCACTATCCACTTAAATCTGTAAAAGGTTTCTATTTGTCAAGAAATGGAAACTGCAATGCTTTTTAGGGTAAAATATTTCATTATTCAATACAAATCATTCAAATGTGTTATTTAGTTATTCAAAAGCAGTAAGTTAAAACTTCATTGTAATTGATCATGTAAAAGTTAATCCATGCTGGAGGCAGAATTAGATTTGTATGGACTAGGTTGCTTTTGGAGGAAATGTGTTTTAGCCAAGGCAATATTGAGAAATGCTAGGGAGATGCTAGGCGTTCTTTATTAGTCTCTTAGATTTCTGGGAATCAGATCCTAGGTGACAGATGGGAGGGGAGCTGTCAGAATTGGTTTTTTTGTTTGTTTGTTTTTTTGAGAGGGAGAGAGAGTGCGCAGGCACGAGCACAAGAGGGGAAAGGGGCAGAGGGAGAAAGAGAAGGAGCCTCCCCCCTGAGCAGGGAGCCAGACCCCGGAGCAACCCCAGGACCCCAGGATCCTGACTGACTGAGCCAAAGGCAGAGGCTTAACTGACTGCCCCCCAGACAGAACTGTTTTAACGAGAGACTTTGTGTAGTTCAAGCAGAAGCAGAGTGTTTCATGGTTCAAGTGACAAAAAATGAAGCAGGGCTGGGAAGAGGCCATTTTCTTTGCCTTTGCACAGACTCTAGAAGCCTCAGCATTGATGATGTATTGACAATAATATATTTTACATTTTTAAAAAAGATTTATTTATTTGAGAGAGAATGAGAGGGAGAGGTAGAGAGAGAGGGAGAGAAAATCTCAAACACTCCACACTGAGTGTGGAGCCTGTCGTGGGGCTCCATCCTCAGGACAGTGAGATCACAACCTGAGCCAAAATCGAGTCAGATGCTTAACCAACTGAGCCACCCAGGGACCCCTCTATTTTGAGCCTCTTATAAATAGTACCGCTGTGAACATTTTTTTAAAAAGATTTTATTTTTTTTAAGTAATCTCTACACCCAACATGGGGCTCGAACTCACACCCCAGAATCAAGAGTCGCACACTCTACCGGCTGAGCCAGCCAGGTGTCCTCACTGTGAACATTTTTATACATGTTTTTTGGTGCACATATGTACAGATATGTGTTGGAATATGCCTAGGAGTGGAATTGCTGGGTCACAAATATGCATATATTCGTTCAGCTTTAGTTTTTCAAAGTGGTTATACCACATTACACCCACACCAGTGGAGTGTGAGAGTTCTGGTTCCTTTTCATCCTCATCAATACTCGGTGGTTTCTTCTTTTTTTTAACCATTCGGTTTCTATATTTTTCAGTTTAGCCATTCTGATGCATGTGCAATAGTTATCACATAGCTTTAATTTGCATTTTCCTGAAGACGACATTAAGCATTTTTCACATTTATTGCCTATTTGGATATCCTCTTTTGTAAAGTACCTGTCTAGGTTTTTTGCCGGTTTTTCTTTATTGTTGTCTTTCCTTATCGACTTGTAGGAGCTCTATATTTTGGACATGAGTCCTTTTTCAAGTGTTGCAAATATCTTCCACTCTGTGGCTTGTCTTTTCGTTATCTATGCTGTTTTCTTTTTTCAGTGAAAGAAGTGCTTACATTTACTGTAGTATAATACATCAGTCTCTATGCCCTTATTTAAAAATGTTTTGCCACAGGGGTGCCTGGGTGACTCAGTTGGTTAAGTGTCTGCCTTCAACTCAGGTCATGCTCCCCAGGTCCTGGGATTGAGCCCCAAGTCAGGCTTTCTGCTCCCTGGGGATCCTGTTTCTCCCTCTCCCTGCCATTCCCCCTGCTTGTGCTGGCTCACATGCTGTCAAATAAATAAATAAAATCTTAAAAAAAAAGTTTTGCCATTGTTAACCAGCAGTGGAGGATTCAACTGCAGTTACACTAGCTCTCAGTCGCTTCAGTTAAATCTGTGTGTGCTGAGACCACAAAAATACAGCTGGTTTGAGGACCTAAGTCCTAATCATATGGCTTAGAATGAGCATCCCCATCCTGCTCCAAGGTGATGAAGATGGAGAGAATGGCTTTTGAGTGGGAAATTAGTAATGTTTGCTAAAAGCTGCATCCTACAATTTTTGATATATAATACTCCCACTATCATTTAAGGCTAAATATTTTTAATTTTCATTAGTATGTATGTATTTTTTTTTCCTCATGAATTATTTAGAAGTGTTTTAGGAAGGTGGCTTTTTGTTACTGATTTCTAATTTTACGGCATTTTGGTCAGAATTTATGTTAAATATGGTATCAGTTCTTTAGTATTTGTTGAAAATTGCTGGTGGCCTAGTATGTACTCGGTATTTGCAACTGTTGCATGTATGTTTGGGAAGATGTGAATTTTCTCTAAGCTAATCCTACACCTACAGTGCTACAAAAGCACTACTGTCCCTTCTCTTCTGTCCTTTAAGAACCTCATCCTCATTTAGCCAAACCCACTGCCCGAGGGAAAGAAAAAGGAAGCATGTGTAGAGGTGTACATCTAAAGGGAGGGCCCCTTGGACTTGGAGCTCATTTTTACCAGCTAGATCACTGATCTGCACATGTGTGTATATCCTATCAATTTAGAAGCACATACCGTCTGGAGATGTTTGCTATTCTGTGAGTTTGTCTTAGTATGTGGGATCTCATTAACAACTTAGGAGTTGGAGTGTATTTGTTTTTTATTGCTGTGTAACAATCACCACAAACACAGCAGCTTGAAACAACACACATTTATTATCTTTCCATGGGTCTCAGCACAGCTTAGCTGGGTGCTCCACAGGGGCCGAAATCAGGTATGACTGGGCTGTGTTCCTTCCGTCAGTTCTTCCAAGCTCACGTGGTCATTGGCAGAATTCAGAATTCAATTCCTTATGTTGTAGGCCTGAGGTCCCTGCCTTTTTGCTGGCTGTCAGCTAGAAGCCAATCTCCGCTCCTGGAGGCAGGCCCCTGCCATACGGCCCTCTCCCAACATAGTGGCTCACTTCTTCGAGGCCAGTGGGAGACTCTCTCAGTCCAGTCAGCTAAGACAGAGTCATATAATGTAACATCATCATGCTAGAGATATCCCATAACCTTTGTCATATCCTGTTGATATGTTGCAAGTCTCAGGTTCTACCCACACTCAAGGGGATTACACAGGGTGTGACTCATTGGGGTCATCTTAGAATACTGCCTACCACTAATACGGTAAACTGTTTTTATCCCAACCAACTTCTGAAATCTGGAAAGGGAAGATAAGAAGGGGCTGTGTGCATGGCTGCTGGTAAAGACTACTTTTCTTCCCAGCAAAGCTAATTGAGGGATGGGCAACAGGCCTCAAATTCAGCAGAGCTCTGAGGTTAGAATGTTGTAAAGAAAAAAAAAAGAATGTTGTAAAGAGAAAAAGATAAGAACACCTCCCCCCACCCCCCCAGGGCCCAGTTCCAGCCTCCTCGTACCTCTGCTACTACATATATACATTTTGGGTCTATATTTTCCAGATTGGTTACTGCTCCAGGTCTCTAGCAGAGTCATCATGGAAGGGGAACCTCTGACCTTGAGGTGTCATGGATGGAAGAATAAGCTGGTGTACCAGATGCTTTTCTACCAAAATGGCAAGGTTTTTAGGTTTTCTTCTCAGAATTCTGAAGTCACCATTCTGAAAACCAACCTGAGTCACAATGGCATCTATCACTGCTCAGGCGAGGGAAAGCAACGCTTTGAATCAGCAGGAGTATCTATCACTATAAAAGGTATGTATCTGAATAGTCATAGAGCTGTAGTTTTACGGGCCATCACAAATCATCACTTAAGTTTGCAAGTGAAGACTTAAGTTCCGGAGAGGTAGCTGTCTCCCTGAAGGCCATGCAGTGACCAGTGGCTGGGCCTCAGTCTGTTGCTTTTTCCAGTAAACCACAATGCCTCATCAGTAACCCCAGGAGCTAACATGAAGGCCAGGGCATAGTGAGGATCTATTTCATCAATTTTATTTTAGTTGCAAGGAATAGAGATTCACTCAAGGGAGGTAGGAGAGTTATTAGAAAATGACTCAATGGAATCTCATAAAAAGCTCTATAGAAACAGAAGCCATGAAGACATTAGGAGTCAGTTATACTTTCTGTCTATCTCTTGAGGCAATGTGACCTCTCTGGTTGTACTTCTCTCTGAACATCTGCTAACTACAGCAGCTTCCTCTGTTCTAGCTTGCATGTGGGCCTGGATTGTGGTTCTTTCATCTTAGGACTCATAACTACTAGCAACTTTTTTCTATCTGAAAAAGAATTCATTCCTATGGGGAAGAGAGGATTGTCCCAGATTATCTTTTGAGGCAGTAAAACAAGTAACAAGTCACTGACCCGGCTAGTGTGTGGGTCAGTATCCATTCCTGGTGGACCATTACCTAAAGGCATGGCCACATAATCAATAACATGGCTATTCAGGGAAGCATGGACTGTGTGGAGGTATTCTCCACAGTAGGAAATGAGGAAGATGGCAATTATAAGAGTATCTGTGAGGAAACCCCAAGATTGCCTCTCTGCTGGAAGTGGGAAAAATTGTCTTACGGATGCATTCTCTAGGAGCAGGTTTCTCAAAGAGGAAGGGGGTATACCTTCTGTAAAAAGAATCTTGACACTGAAGCAGGCAATCCTGTCCCCATCAACTTTTTCTTTAGAGCTATTTCCAGCCCCAGTGCTAAAAGCATCTTTGTCATCACCCATCCTGGAGGGGCATCTGGTCAACCTGAGCTGTGAAACAAAGTTGCTCCTACAGAGACCTGGTTTGCAGCTTTACTTCTCCTTCTACATGGGCAGCAAGACCCTGCTGAGCAGGAACACATCCTCTGAATACCAGATACTAACTGCTAAGAGAGAAGATTCAGGGTTATACTGGTGTGAGGCAACCACGGAAGATGGCAATGTCATCAAGCGCAGCCCTGAGTTGGAGCTTCAAGTGCTTGGTGAGAATGAGGGGAATTGACAGGAGAAGGCACAAGGAGAAGATGCTCCCTTTTCTCCTTTGGGGCTGAGGTTTGTTTACGGGGATTTCATGGCCCAGCCAAGGAAAACCCATGAACAGGCTTTTCACTCTTGATTCGTAACTTCACTATTCTCATGAACTTCATTAAATTTCCTTTCCTTTCTCCCTTTATTTCCTTCCTTTCTTCATTTCCTATTTTCTCTCCTCTTTCTTTTCCCCTCGCTCCTCC